GAAAAGGAAACAACACAGTCACTCCTCTTACGATCGACGTCGGGGCTCGCTCTTTGACATAGAGAACGAGACCTTGGTTCTCTGTTTTCATAAAAGGGTAAGCCATTAATTTCCTTAGCACGAAAAAGGGGATGCATATGACCTATGAACAAAATTTTGAATTTGGTACAGTATATCCTTCGTTTCTCGTACCCCTATATGTCACCATGAGTAACCAATCTAAAAAAAAATAAATGAAATAAGAATTTGCTTATAATGATGATGGGCTCCTTTACATAGAAGAGAACACAAAGGATGGAGGGTTTGGTAGAAACTATAGTTTTTGTGTTATATTTTCCCCCTCCTTTCCCGATAACTCTGGCAAGCCATTAACTCCTTTGGTTATGAAAATGGGGATGCATGGGACAGGACATCGATGTATGACAAATTAGTAACAATTTATTTTTGTATGGGCTACGAGATGGACAATTAGCTGAAAGGGTAAAAGGTAATATGGATGGATGGACATGCATCCCTCTTTTCTTTTAAAAAAGAGTTATCTACTGCATACATACATAATACATATATACAGTGGGGTGGAGACTTTTCAGGGCCACTCTGTTCAAGGTACAGAGCTAGGATAGTAAATGAAACCTGCTTGCTTGTAGTATTTGTATTTTAGTTAAGTGTTAGTTGGTATCAAATTTGTATTCAAATGCGATTTAGAGTCTTACTATGTTATGAATCCGTCGATGTACATACATATATGCATGTGTATAATCTTGGCATGCAGAACGTGTCATATTGATCTCATGTGAAATGCAGCTATGAACATTATAAAACAAAAAGAAGTAACATTAAGTATTTTTTTAAGCGTTTTCTTGGAAAAGATCTCGTTTTATTAATTAGTTGCAGAATCATTCTTAAATCAAATGTCACTATCAAATCACATAACAAAAATGATATTATAGTCTTGTTTCATAGTTCCCGCTAACACCACCAAATGTAGCTAGCACAATAGTGGTGTCATAGACAGACATTGGCCATTAGTACCAATATATATCGCTAGTCAAGTCCACGATATGGCCCGACAACTAGGGATGGTACAATTACTTGCCAATGAGTAATTTTACAAACCTATGTGATTATAGGATAGGGATGGTACAATTACTAGTTTGATTGAGTTCTTATGGATGAATTTGTGTAGGGTATACGTATTGTCTTCATATTTTAATTGGGTATGAGTTGGGTAATGTATTTATCCAAACTTATGTATGTTAACCTAACTTTTCAATTAAAAACATCAGTGCATGTTTCCCTTATCGAAAAGCCCTAACCAGTTTACTACTAAAAACTCTGTCGCATTGATTAAATTTAACGAGTAGTTGTGATTTATAAGCTAATTTATTCATATTAATTAAATTGATAGAAGTTGGGCTAAGTGATTTTAGTATCTAAACTTTCTGAATTTTACATATTAGTCAAATGTTAACATGCCACTTACAATTGATTTAACATCGAACTTCTGCAGTGGCGGACCCAGGGGGTGGCCACCCCGGGCCCCGGCCCAGCCCTCCTCTGGATCCATAGTTAGTATAGGCCTTATTAATTTTTCGATTTTAGATATTCGTGTCGTTGTTATTTTAAAATAAGATCGGGTATAATTAGAAAAATAATTCAGATGAACATATTCAAAAACACTACTCTAAATTTAGCTTATAAATTCTAACCCCAAAGGTTATTCGTCTAAAAAAAAAATGAAACCTAAAAATTCAAAAAGTTTAAAACGTAAAAGAATAAAACATATATGAGGTTTGTTATCTTGGAAAATTTACTAGAGAAGCTGGTGGATATAGGGATGGAAACACAATGCAAATTGATTAGTAGATTGATTTGTCTAGTGTTGATGCTGCGCGTTTCAACAGCTAATACGAATAGAACATTTTCAACAACGAAACATGTGAAAATTGATTTGCGCAACAAAATGAGCGATGGATTTCTAGTCGATTGCTCGAGTATTTTATTTGAAATAGTGTGTACTATTGGTATGGATGTGGACTCCATTATTAATGCATTTGCTAAATTAAAATACCGTCGTGTACAATTACATTGTAAAAAAATTATAATCATTATATTTTTTTACTATTCTAATTTTCTAATAAAATGCGGTCCAATACACTTTTGTGTTCTGGATCCGCCGCTGAACTTCTGTCATTTATATTACAGATGATTTTAAATTTATGATAATGAACTAAACTAACATCCCTACCAACAACAACAAGTCAACGACAGAAAGCAAGACAACGATGATATAGTTGTGTCCTGCCGCAGGTATGCATTTTTTATATAAGAATTAAGGCATGTATTCACAAAAGTAGTAATTTGAATTCACAAAATAAAATTCAAAATATAAAATAAGTGTGTTTTAATTTCCATTTAAACATAATAAGGGGTCATATAAGTCAATGTAATCCTGTGATGAAAAAACACTCATGATTTCTCAATCACCAATTCAAGGTTGTCAAACTGGAAAACAAAATTAAGCTATCAATTTGGTTTGACAAGTAGTTTGAATTTTAATGGTCGGATCGTGTTCAACCAATTCATGTAAGTTTTATCATAATATATAAGAAAACCTATAATATCAAATAAATTATGTATATATTTGACATATTTTAAAATAATCTCGCTAATCTTCATTCATATATTACCAAAGTATCTCTTCAAAATAAATATATATTACCAAATTATTCAATCAGTTACACAACTAATCAATAAGTTGTGGCAAAACAGCTTGGTCGGCCTGGCACTTGGTCAAACAGTTTTTGTTACTAACCATGCTTATGTTGATTTCATGGTACAACCACAGATTGATACAAACTAAAATTGTACTTTTTATGTTATGATACAACTTGAAGTTGTACTGTAACATAAAAGTTGAAATTACCTCATGCTCTAATTGTACTTTAAAGCCCCAATGCGTTGAAGCATAGTAGAAGTGCCCGTAGTAAATGTTTGAAAGGAATTATATCTTAAACAATGTTGTAATTAAGCTCCTTAGTCTTTTAAGTTCTTAAGAATGGATTTCATTATCATTTAAAATTCCTAGTTAAACTTTTGATGGGTGTATTAAACATTGAATTTGTAAATGTCATTGTGAGTTGTGAGTGGTATGAGTCCATTTCTATGTACCATCAATATATACATCTGTGATCTGACTGATGCCGCATTTAAGTGATTGAGAAACGGTCAATCATAGGATAAGAGAGTTTTATATGGAGGCTCATTTGCATTGGTCAACTAAATATCAATTGGAAATAGCAAACACGTGTAATATTCATTCCATGCAACAAATTAAATGGTACCCATCCACGTGTAATAGACAATTGCTTGCTCTCATAATCCCAAAAATCCCACTGGCAGAAGAAGCTGATAAAGATGTTATAGCAAGATCAATTGCACTTTTCTTTGTGTTTGCATGTACGAAATCAAAGCATCTGGAGCTGGTTTGCGAAATTCAAGGACTGAGGCGGAGGTGAGTTTACAATGGACACCATCTTCTTTGCTCGCACACTCCCCGTTATCTGCGGCCTGAGATTGGGATGACCACCAAGGTCCTATGCGGAGGAGAGGTGGAGGCCCAGTCGTTGAATTTGCTTGGCTAGCCGCCAGCCGATTTGTCGACGGGGATGTGGAAAGTCGGGAATATGGTCGTAGACGCATAGACGTGGGGAGCAGGTCTATCCGCCACCAGATCGTCGTGCGGGATCGGAGGTGAGGGGAAGGTTAAGAGATGTGTGGAGGAAGGACTGGTACTTGAACCAACGGTGGAGATCAATACTTAGGATATATCGACGACAATCGCGTGGTGTGCATGATACTTACGTAGGCTTGCCCACTCCCCACTGGACCCCTTATACCATTAGGCACTATTTATTTCTTAATTAATTAATATGAATTTAAATTTATGATAATGAACTAAACTGACATCCCTACCAACAACAACAAGTCAACAACAGAAAGAAAGACAACGATGATATAGTTGTGTTCTGCCGCAGGTATGTATTTTCTTGTATAAGATTTAAGGTATGTATTCACAAAAGTAGTAATTTGCATTCACAAAATAAAATTCAAAATATAAAATAAGTGTGTTTTAATTGCCATTAAACATAATAAGGGGTCATATAAGTCAATGTAATCCTGTGATGAAAAAACACTCATGATTTCTCAATCACCAATTCAAGGTTGTCAAACTGGAAAACTGAATTAAGCTATCAATTTGGGTTGACAAGTAGTTTGAATTTTAATGATCGGATCATGTTGAACCAATTCATGTAAGTTTTAACATAATATGTGAGAAAATCTATAATATCAAATAAATTATGTGTATATTTGACATATTCTAAAACAATCTCACTAATCTTCATTCATATATTAACAAATTATCTCGAAAACAATCTCACTAATCTTCATTCATATATTACTAAATGATCTCTTCAAAATAAAAATATATTACCAAATTATTCAATCAGTTACACAACTAATCAATAAGTTGTGGCAAAACAGCTTGGTCGTTTAAGCCTGGCACTTGGTCAAACAGTTTTTGTTACCAACCCTGCTTATGCTGATTTCATGGCAGGCAAAAGCCCTTATTTCAAAGTGCGCCATTCTATTATTTGGTGTTTCTGCAGGAATTTGTTCCTTTCTTTCAAATCAAAACTTAAAGGGTCTAACCAGTAGTTAAGGGGGGAAGTCACAAAATGAGAAATACCTCATGGTTTCTTCTCTCTGGAGTAAACGCATACCCCTTCTTAGGTCAGTTATGGTAGAAACGTAGACCACAATTAACTAATGTCTTGTGTCTTGTCGGAAGCTGCTCACGCCTCACAGTATGGTTGTGAATTTTCAAATGCCATAACAAGAGGGCTTTTCATGTTTGGTTATTTTTTTGCTAAGATTTAAGACAGAGGACCGGCCCGACACTCGAAGGCCATGTGCTCAGAAAGATAAAAGTAAATCGGTTTTAGTGGATTAATTCATTGCTTGGAAAAGGTTGCCTGAGTTCTCTTCTCAAGCTTTATGTCTACCGAATTCGAGGAAGAAGTCGTCTTATGCCACATGGGATTTTCTGATTGCAGGAAATGATGAGACGAGAGGGAAGCAAAAGCCGCGGTGGAGTGTCATTTATGTTCTAACAACAAACATAACACTGAACTACTACTTAACGTTGGTAAGCAACAAACAAGTTTTAAGTTCCACAGCTAATACACAACATTGAATTACACAATCAGTTACACAACTAATCAATAAGAACAGTAATTAGCATTACAAGCTAAGCTAGCTTATAGTTCAGCTCTCAAGGTAAGGTCAACTCATCCATAAGCGAATAGTAATTACGGTAGGCTAATTTATCCCTTCGTTGAGGAAGCTCGCAAAGAGGTCCTTGGCTCTCAATGGCTGATTGCTGGCGACATAGCCACCGGCCCCGCGGACAGTAGCAAAGGTCAACAACACGTTCTCTCCGGCGCCGTAAACGGAAAGGTAGCCCCCAACTACACCGGAGGAGTCGTACCAGGGCCCGAAAGACGTCGGAGCCGTCCCATTGAACACCTTGCGCACTGCATAGTTGGTGGAAGTCACGGGCTGCTCGGCGCCCGCATCGCCGTTAAAAACCATCACCTTCATCCCTCCCCTGCCCACCACCTCCTTCATCGCCGCAATCATCGACCAACTTTCCTCCACAGGCGTCCTAATTCGGTCACTACATATGCACCATGAAAGTGATCAATTAATTAACATAACAACAACAACAACAACAACAAAAAAAAATATATATAGATCTAGTGGGAGATGACGAACGAACTTGCAGAGAAGCCACGGGCCAGGAACCCGGCCGGTGAGGTTGGCATGGAGAGCCTCCTGGACAGCGGGGATGTTCATGTATCGCGCCACATAGTCCTTTAATTTGAACAGGTAGCACTCAAACGAACGAGTCAATTAACATCAACGCGCGAAAATTAACGAAACGTGACTTGGCTTGGCTTGGTTACTTACTCCGGAGGTGGGATGGTTGGTAGATGCACAAAGTGGCTCGTGAAGGGCTGTAACGTCTAGTCGACCCAGGCGTCGAGCCTCCTTTTTTAAGGCCATCCCGCAGTTGGAAGGAGAAGGCTGCACCGAGCCTTTGTAGTGTGGGTCGCAGGAGACGAGGATGTTGTGGCGGCCGGCCTCACTCAACATTCCTAAGGCGGTGAGGTAGTCGATAAATCCCCTGTACGCCGATTCCAAGTCCATTAGTGGATTCCCCAGCTGCAAAAATAAAACCCACAAGTTAATTAGGATATCGTTAAGAAACGAGATCAAGTATATATTGATGCATTTGTTAATTAAAAATTAGAGAAGAGAAATAGAGAGAGATCGAGAGTGTGGACCAGTAGTCCTTTGATGCGGATGTTGGGAGGAGAATAAAGAGCGAGATGAACAGCGTAGCGAGCCCCATATCTCTCGCCAGCCACGTACAAATCCCTTGCTCGGTTTTCCGGAAACCGCCTCAACCACCGGGACAGGAAGCTTAATGCATCTTCAACCATGTCTTCGTCGGCCACGACCTTAGTTGTATTGGTGCCGCCGGTATACTCGTTGTCGGAGTAGTATGAGAATCCCACTCCCGCCGGCAAGTCCACAAACAACAAGTTCGCCTCTATATTTGATTTGCGCAATAATTACAACAACAACAACAACCCTATTAAAAGACTTAATGAACGTGCCAAAAGCATGCACATATTAATTAAGATAATAAAAAATAAAAAAAATTAACCCACGTTTGTGCCATGAAAACTGATTCCATTGAAGCGTCATATCTCGCTGAACTCGTAGTGGTCCCACCTCAAGCATCCCTCCTTGGCCGAGGGAAGAGCAAAGCATCCCCGCTGCAAATAAAATATGAATGAGACTAGTTATAACTTAAATGAGATAAAAAAAAAATATCAATGAAAAAAAAAAGAGATGTAGCTACAATTAAATAATAATCACTTTGCTGAACACCGTACGTACGTACCCACACTAAACCAGAGAAGCAACGGAGCCTGAGCTGCTGCGGCCGGTGCCTCGACGTAGTAGTAAAAAATATGCCTCTCTGATGGCAGCCCGCGACCAAGAGAAACATAGCCCGCGAAATGCTCCACGTTATGGCCGGTTGGCTGACCCGGCAAGGACCCCACCCTGTCCCTCTCCCTCTGTTCGCCGGTGGCAGCCGCTCCGGCCAAAATGTTTCCGCCGGTAATCATCATCGGAGCTACGGTGAAGAGGATTAAGATCCCTAGTGAGGTAAAAGTAAAACCCACCATTTTTCCCACCATTGGACAGTGCCGCTCTTGTGGATGATGATCGCCCGCTAATATGGAGCAATTTCTTCAGGGCGTGGTCGGTGTCAAAATCAGGAACACAGATAATTCCGTAATGAGCAGATGAGAGGAAGAAGGTGAAGGGGGTGGGCAACTGTATGGAAGTTGGAAGCTTGGATTTTGGATTTGAAGTATTTGAATGAAATTGATCGCTATCAATTCGATGGCTGAATGTTGATGGCTAGGAAAAAAAGATGAGAAGAAGAGGGGCTTTATCTTGCTCTGGCATCAGAGAAGAGGGAGGGAGAGGAAGTGTAGTAAGAGAGAGAGGAAGTTTGGGAGTGTGGTGTCAGTGTCACGCGGTGGGTGAATGAGAGAGAGATAAGGGAAATAGTTAAATAAATAATATAATGGAAACTTAACCTTTTCAATAAATAAAGACATTAATTATAGTTATGGTAAGTAGGCTAGGCAATAGGTCGGATACGGGGCGGGTACCCCATATTCATTGCCCACTCTGTATGCCCGCGGGTAAAACCCGTACCCACCCCATTAACCTTTATGGGCCAAAAATTTGGACCAAACCCAAGACCAAACGGATATCGGTGAAACCACGGGTCATTGGTTACCCGTGGCCTGTTTAGAAATAGAAGCCAACCAAGTTCCTGAAAATCACTAAGCATTACCTGAATTACTAAAAACCAAGTTCTTATAACATTCAACAAGAAACCATGAACTGCAAACCCAGAAACCTGACTCAAAATCAACAATCCGACCATAAATAAACCCAAAAATAAGAATCACTCAAACCAAGAATTAAAACCCACAAAGTGTAAAAAAAATCCCAGCTAACAAACAACCATGAACTGCAAACCCAAAAACCTGACTCAAAATCAACAATCCGACCATAAATAAACCCAAAAATAAGAATCACTCAAACCGAGAATTGAAACCCACAGAGTGTAAAAAAATCTCAGCTAACAAACTTCTGAAATAACACTGCGAGTCTGAAAGATTGAAACACAAAAAAACTATAACAGAAGCCATTCCGAAGAGCAACAATCAGTGTTGAATCTTCACTCCTATGTCTCTCTTTCTCGTCCTTGCATCTTCTTTCAATGAGATTAAGATTTCCTGAATCCCAACAACATTTACAACTTCAGATTACTATGTTCTGCAAGGATTTAGTAAAATTCCAGCAGTAGCAAAGCTTTAGCAGTAAAAAAAGAAACATAACACACACCAATAGCTAGTCGAGCAGGTTGACTGCAGCAACCTCGTCTTCATCTCCTTCCAACTCCTTTTGCATTTCAGCTCCATCTGATACATAACAGTCTGTTTAGTAAAATTACTAGGCGAACTGAATAAACAAATTACAACAAGAGAATTCAGTTACCTGTGCTCTCTTCCACCGTGGCATCATCCTTTGCCATAGCAGAGAAAACTCCCTCCAATGCTTTCAATTCAGCAGCAGACACTAGGAGCAACAGCAAGATTCAAGTAAACAGTTTAATTAGCAAGAAAATGAAACAATAGCAAAGTAAACATAATTCATAATTGAACTAAAATAAAGTCACCTTTGCTATCATCCTCAATCCAAGTCCTTAATATCATCATGGCTTCTACTGTTGCAGGATCAAGTCTACTCCGATGGGGATCAAGAAGCCTCCCATCAGAACTGAAGGCAGATTCAGATGCCACACTAGCAACAGGTACAGCAAGTAAGTCCCCTGCAATCTCTTGCAAAAGGGGATACTTGGCACCGTTGAATTTCCACCAACCAAAACACATCAAAATCCGGTGTTCTAGGATGAACATCCTCAGCTAGATAATGATCTAACTCGGTGGTTATTGCAGTAATTTTGGTTTTCTTTCTTTGGCTAACATATAGATCAAAATCCATATCTGTAGCCGAAGAAGAAGGATGAACAGAAGAAGAGGCAGCAGTGTTTTTGGTGGCTTTTCTTTGATACTCAACAACCAATTTGGCCATAACTGATCTGACCCTTTCACTCACTAGATCAGTATTAGTGATACTGAATTTTCCAGCATAGTAATCAACCCATTCCAATTTATACCACCAACAGTAAATGAATTTCATCCCAATACTTCACAAACTTATTCCACATATTCCCAGCATAGAAACAATCATCAGATTAGGATCACCTAACCATTCCACCAACTTTAACCTCAAATCACACACTTTAGCAAAAAACTGATTCGCTGTTGGGTAATTTGAACCAGAAAAAACTAAATTGATGTCCTTGAAAACATCAAGCTTGTCAACCAAAACAGCAGCAAAGTCCCACTGCTCGTTGATAAGCAGAGAATTATATTGAGGCTCTCTTATTTTCAGTATAGAGAACACTTCCTTATACGGGATAGCACAAGAAAGCATCTCGTAGGTGGAATTCCAACGAGTGGGACAATCCAATACCAACTTCTTAGAAATAGATAATTTGAGTTGTTGGGCAGTTGCATGGAAAAACTCCACTCTCCTAGGAGTGCAGGTCCAAAAGACCACACTCTCCCTTATTTTCTCAATACCATCTTTCAATAAATCAAGTCCATCCCTCAAAATCAGATTAAGGATGTGAGCAGAGCACCTCATATGAAGAAGTGTGTCATCCCTAATTAGATTCGATAACACTAGCCTTTGTTTAATTAGATTTATCATGGAATCATTGGTAGTACAATTGTCAATAGTAATAGTTGACAATGTACTATCAATGTTCCAAGATCAGAGGCATTGACCTAGCTTTGCAGCCATCCTCTCACTAGTGTGGGGGGCAGGGAAATATCCAAACATAAGCAGATGGTTCCGCAACTTCCAAAAGTTGTCTATATAATGGGCAGTGAAAGCCATGTAAGACCTTTTTTGGTTTGTGGCAGTCCACATGTCAGTTGTGACAGCTATACGACCTCGGTTTTCATCAATGGCCTTTTGAATCTTAGCCCTCTCTAAACCATAAATAGTAACTATATCCTTCTTTATGGTATTTCGGGTTGGAACTTTGAAGAGAGGGTTCAAGGTGCAACAAAACCTTTTGAAATAAAGGTGGTCAACAATAGAAAGGGGATACTCATGAACCAAGATCATGGTGCAGAGCTCCTTTCTAGACACCTCACTACTAAACTGATTCGTACTCATATCAGTTGTTCCCTTGGCACTATAGTCAGCCCCAAGGACCTTTGACTACCATCATGAATTTTTTTATGAACACAACGGTTCCTATGATTCCTTAGATGGGAAGTACCATTACTCGATTTTTCAGCCAAAATCTTCTTACAATAGTTTCATTTTGCTTTCAAAACCCCATTAATTAACAGTCTGGTGAAGTGAGGCCACACATCAGACTTTAAGCACCTACTAGAACCTAAGGGATTTTGGGGAACAACATCTTCAGTAAGGTTTTCAGAATTACCAGGTTGGTTTCCATTGTTATTCTGAATTGGTGCATTCTCAACTTGTTCAGGTTCCATCTGGGTAAGAAACAGAAATAAAAGAAACGTTTCAAAAAGAATTTCAATGTTGTTCTAATGAATCATAATTCAATGATTAGACCATTAGAGATTAGATAAAAAAGGAGAATAATTAACCAAAGTCTATTCTGTAATGTTGATTGGATCCTCTCACAATCTGGATTCGATCAGCATTACAGAAGATCATGGTTAAACAATTTGATTCAAGAAGAATAACCAAGTGTTAGTTGGGATTTGGGTGCATTAGATAATTTAGAGTTTATATAGCTTTAGGATTAACCAAGTCTATTCTGTAATGATGATTGAATCCTCTCACAAACTGGATTCGATAAGCATTACACAAGATATGGTTAAACCAATACATAGACTACTTACTAACTTACAACAAAGTGATCATTAATTGTGATTTGGGTTCATTAGATGATCTAGAGTTTACATTTGGGTTCATTAGATAATCTATAGTTTATGCAGTTTTATGAATTAGCAGAAACAAAGTGAACATTAACATTACAGTCTGTTGAACTTAGCTACAATAGAATCACATTGACCATTACCTTTAACCATTACATAAACAACTTACAACAGTGGCATTTTCCAAGAACAGAATCACACTAACCATTAACATTTAGCAGACACATTCAGTTCTTAGTATTAATGGAGCATAATCAAATTAATCAGTAGATAAAATGTGGTCAGTATTATTAAGTCACTACCAGATTAGCTGTTTTCGACTTAAGAATGACATAAACCAATTCATTCACTACCACATTAGCTGTTTTCTACTTAAGAATAACATAAACCAAATCATTCACTACCAGATCAGCAGACTGTAGTTTAAGCACCACCTGCTTGATGGGACTCCTGAACAGCAAGCTGCAAAAACAAATGAGCAGGAAATAATAATCAAACTCAAATAATATGGAAAGCTAGGGTATTTGGAAAAACTAATCTAACGAACTACTGTAACTAAACTTATCGAGAATGATAAACAGGTAGTGGGATTCCGAATTCTGGAAGGCTAGGGTTTCTGGGTTTAGGTTTCTTACTGCATATGAACAAAATGGACAAGTAAGCCTCATATTTATACCCTTATAAGCATTAATTGAACAAACTACTGTAAAGTGTAAACTAAACTTACCGAGAATGACAAACAGGTACTGGGAATTCGAATTCTGGAAGGCTAGGGTTTCTAGGTTTAGGGTTCGAAGAACTGCAGATGAACAAAACGAACAAGTAAGCCTCATATTTATACCCTTATAAGCATTAATCGATTAAGGAAAGAAAGAAAGAATGAATCAATTGAAAACTTTTCTCGATCTAGGAAGGAAAGCGTCTGCATGCATGATTCGGAGATGATTTCCATCGATTGCGACATTTTAGGTGACTGGGTGATTAATTAAGGGTTAGATCGTGGGTTATTGGTGCTAGGATCGTCGATTTAGGACGAAAATCTGTATAGAAATGAGAAGAAATCGACGAATTAGAAGGGATTTGGGGAGAAATCGCTGATTCGTCGTAATAGGGTTGAGAGGAAATCGGGGATGCTGGCGGCGGGTTGTGGTGAAAAATGGGGTTTCCAGTCTCTAACCCTAAAACTTAGCCTTATATACGCCTATCAAAACAATGACGTTTTGTTAGCGGGGCAGGCACGGGGCGGGGATCGCTGAATCCGTCCCCAACCCATCACCGTGTCTCGCGGGTCGCAGGCCTGCCGTCACCGCGTTCCAGCCCGTCGATTCGGGTTTTAGCCCATTGATAGACCATTGATTACACATGTTTTACCCCTATCCTTGAGCCATTTGAGATGTCGATTCTCGCGTTTTAGGCCGATTTCACGCTAGGTTGTTCTTGTTTGTGATATTCCAGGTCCTAGTACGTGAATGAAGGTTTAGGAACGAGTTCGGGGTCAATTGGACAAAGTTTGGACGTTTGGCGAGAAGCTGAGAAGCCACACGGGCATGCCTA